TAAGTTCCACACAGCTTCTTCCCACAAACCACTGCTCTGTGGAATCAACTCCCAAGAGGATGTTTCTCTGATCACTATAATCTTAGCTTACTCAAGTCTCAGGTTAACTGTTATCCTCCCCTCCCATCTGTATGAACTGTCTTTTAATGTAATCCTCTACCTTGAGTGGCACCCAGGACTTCTACAGGTTGAACTTGACTGTTAAATAAAACAAAAAAAATGTCAGTAACAAAGTTGTTTCTTTTGTCACCCCAAACTTGAGGATCTCTTTGAAGTATTCTTGCTTAAACTTCTAAAAACAATAAATATAAAAAGAAAACAAAGAAAGTCTATTACAAAGAAAGAATTATAGTTGTGAAATTATGAAATCTCATTTCTTTCAATTTGTTGACATTACAAGTAATTTCTTCTAAAAGATTCCTGAAATCATTGTCATCATGACAGAGTAAAGAGTACCATTTATGAATGAACCAAAGAATTAAGTTGTTAACCTAAATTCTATGTTCTGATGATTTATTTGCTAAGTGGCTACTTAAGCAGCTAAAAATTGCAGACAAGTGTGTTTTGCTTCATAAGGATGACTTTTTGAATGACCAACAATTTCCTGACCTGGAAGTTAGCTGCAGTTTGCAGACCATTTAGTTCTGATTGAAAAAGAACACAGAGAAACTCTAAATACAAAACTTCCAAACAGTTTCATTACTATCTTTCTATGCTTTCATTTCTGGGTGATTTAATTGTATTTTCAACTTTAAAACTGATTCCATTATTTGAAATTTGAATTTTATAAGTAACCAAAAGAAAAAAAAAATAAAGGCTGGTTTCTTTTTTAGTAAATTGCTAACAAATCTGTATGTTTCTGTCTGAATTTCTGGGATGAAAAGTTATCATTATTTAGATTATTTATATTTAGACTATTGTCGTCATCTTTGTTATTGTTATCAGAACATTTCGGCCATTCTGGCCTTCCTCAGGTGAAGTGAAACGAGCAATCTACCTCTGTAAAGTAAATAAAAGGTTCAGTTCAGAATTTGCTGTGGATTGATATTCAACTGAGGAAGGCAGGGTACAACAGCTGAAAGATTGTGATAACAACAACAAAATAAGGACAATAGTTTGAATGCAAATAATGTAAATAAATATGTTGTTGTTTTTATTGGAAAGAGAAAACAAATATAAGTATAAATAAGTAACTTACCTAAAACAGAAAAAATAATTTCCAAATATCTTTTTAAAAATTCAACTTGAGTGGACAACGAGAAGCGTCTGTCTATAGTTCTGAGATAAGAAATTTACATTATTCAAACTATTGTCCTCATCTTTGTATTTTTTATATTTATTACGTTTTGGCTGTTGTATGCTCCAGCCTTCTTCAGGTGGTTGGAATGTCAAACTGAACTCTTTATTTCGCTCACTGGAGTAGACTGTTCTAGTTCCACGTGCCATGTTTACTGGATGTCAGTTATCAGTTATCTCCTGTTAATTTCCCTCTGAAAGTTCTCCACTACCTTTACTGGGTATTGAACTCACATTCATGGGTCCTGTCACTGGATCTAACTAATGCCATGTGTCCTTGAGGACATCTGTGTATGAATTTCTAGGTATTATAAACCTAATGTCTTCAGTTTGACATTCCAACCACCTGAAGAAGGCTGGAGTGTCCAATGTTTTGTCCGAAATGTTGTAATAACCATGGCGACAAAGATGAGGACAATAGTTCGAATAATATAAACTAGCAGCATGGCCCGGCATTGCCCGTGCTTGATTCAAAAATCATATGACTCCTACAGCAATTGCTATCACTTGACTTAAAATATTTTTGCCCTTCCTTTCCTTTAAACGAGTGCCCTTTGCCATGCTGATGTTGCTACATGCCTTACTTCTTGCCCTACTTCTTGCCTATTAAATCTGTTATGAAAAAAGAACTAAACAAAATGAACACAAAACAATCGGCTTTAAAAAAGGACTTGTAACTGGAAAAACCGAATGAAAAAAGAATGTTAACAACAAATACTTTTTCCCATACAACCCAGTTCTGCAGAATCAGAATCAACATTGAGTTTAAGCAAGTGAATGAGCCAATTAGAGTAAAGTGCCATGCAGATTTAAATTTTTTCCACTTGTGACGAATGCAGCTATCAATTTTTTTTGCATGCTAGTTAACAATCGTGTCAGTCAGCTGTTGGCTCTCACACTGACCAATAGAATCTTCCTGCCTATTCGTGGCAGCCAGCTATTGGCTCTCACTCTGGCCAGTAGAAAATGGTTGCAAACTACATGAAAACTGCCGTAGAAGCATGAAAAAATCAATTATTTCCACCATCGATGGGAGTTGGGAAATGCAAAGTTGGTCTTGGCCTTCCTACTAACTTGGAGCATGTGCATGTAAATTTTGGTGCAAATCCGTTGAAAATTGCGGGCATGCATTCATTACACACACATACACACATTCTGCCTTTCATAGATAGAGATAAGGAGAAGGGTATTTTTAAATATCAAGCCCCCTTTGTCCTGCTTTTATTTAGGGTATTAAACCAAGGACACTATTTCATAATTAAGAATCACTGCACCTTGAGAATTGAGTGACAAAAAAGGAATGACTGCATTCAATCTATTTAGTTGTTTGTATAAAAAGAATATGACTTTTTATCTCTGATATTTTAAAAAATACCATGATTCTTCAGAACATAAACAATCATATGGTTCTCCACATCTTCCTATTTTTATTTTCTGGGAATTTCCATATCTTCTTGAGAAAAAAACAGAAGAGTAGTTTTCTTTTCCCCATGGTTTTGAATTTTGAATTCTATTAGTATCTATGAAGTTCCATTTGGACAGCTTCTTCCCAAGGACTGCTACTTTGTGGAACAATCTCCCAAGAGGATACTTCCATGATCACTACAATCTTAAATTCATTTACGGTTAACTGTTATCTTTCTAACATATTGACATAAACTGCACTTCTTACTTTTTCCTTTTATGCTCATGAAACAATCTCATTTAGTAATCCTCTATCTTGAGTGGTTCTTGTGCTTTTTATTGGGTGAAAAATTAGTAAAAAAGAGACCTTTTCTTAGACTGGCTGTCAATCAAGAGAATTCAGTCTACCATGCTATTTAACCTATAACTACAGAGAGAAAAGGTGGGTATTAGTGCAAAGTAAACACAACAGACTAAGAAATTGAACTCTGTCCACTTTTTCAAAGCCAGTAAACATGATGCTAACCAGATATCCTTTGATAACCCATCTTTGATACCTACAGGAAAACTAATGGTTGCAAATTAAGAAGGTATATTGCATATATCAATAAAATATGCATTCATCTGTTTTCACTGTTTATATCAATGAAATTCTACATGAATTATTCTGACAGAAGTATTTGCTTTGGAAATGTTAGTACATATCAATTGCATCTGGAATAATTCTAGGTTTTTATTTAAGAGCCCTTTGAATTTTTGATATTGATAAGATCTGAAGCAGAAATATATTGAAAATATTTTTGAAATTTTCTACTATCCCAGTTTGATATGCAATGACAAAAGAAAAGTGTACAAAATAAAAATAAAAAAAGCAAAAAAGGAAGAAAAAGTATAAATGACAACACAAAGACTAAAAACTCTATAACTAATGAACTTGAAATAAATTTACTAATCCTTTTACTTTTCTTCTACTACTTTAGGTTTAAAATGACAGTTACTTTATATATATATATATATATATATATATATATATAATAAAAAAACAGACCACTTTTAAGGTACCATTACAATAATTTTTTCCTCTCATTTCATTGTTGGAAGTGTTACCTGATGATCCTAAAATCCTTTAAAAAGGATTTTGGTGAAATAAATTATTGTAATGGTACCTTAAAGTGGTCTGTTTTTCATTAAATATTAGCTCTGTTCTTCACATTGAGCTCTCAGGATTTCATCCTCCTTGGATTTACCAATTCGGTTTATATGTTCTTCATAACTTATATATATATATATATATATATATATATATATATATATATTTATATATATATCAAAGTAAAAAGAAAGAACAGTCAGATTTATAATACTAAGTTCTTTAGCATTTATTTTTAAAAACAGTACTTGATACACAGTAGAGCATAATATTATAATTATTATTTAAAAATGTTTTCATCGCGACACAGAAATTACCAGGTTTCAAAACCTAAATCTTAAATTAAACTTAAAATTTGAAGTTCAGTTTCATTCTCAAGCAATGCTGAATAACTTTAGAAAAAATTGATTTACTCTATTTATAAGCTAAATAGTATTATATAATTTAAGTTGGTGGGGGAATGAGGATTCAAAATATTTTATTAACTGGATGTTTTGAGAAATTAAGATACAAGTATAATTTTAGGTGGCAAAGTGAAAATCGGTTAAGGTTAGGTGTAGGTTTGAAATTTCTGTCTGTTGATGCTGACTTCCTTTTATGCAAATGTGCCATCACATTCTGTTTTGTTTTTTTTGGTTACACTACAATACAATTGGCATATTTATTTTTTATTTATTTTCTTATTTTGTAAAATACATTGAGATTTTCTTAAAGGGGTTTTCAAAAAACTAATAAAATACCCAGAGTAAAATGGAAACTAATGAAAAAAACCTTATATATATATATATATACACACTTAATAAATGTGTTTGTGTGTGTGTAAATAAATATATGTATGTATGTGTATATATATATATATACACTCATATATATATATATATATATATATATATACACACACACTTCATATATATGTATACAAATATATATACATGTCATATATATATATATATATATATATATATATAAGGAAATAGATTAAATTTGACAGATTTTATTTTTAAATTATTTTGTTTCAACGTTATTTTTGATGGATACTCATTGATGGATATTCCTATTCAAGTAGAACATCTGTTTTTTGTTTTTTTTGTTATTACTCATGTTACTCTTGTTGCATCTTTTTCATTTGCTTCTTCTTTTTCTTTTGCAGTACATGGAGTTGACATCTCTTTAAAGAACCCTGAAGATGGTTATTTCCTCAAATTTCGCCAACATGGACCTCAAACTCAGCAAGAATCTTTGATCATCACTGAATCCACAGGTGAGCTGCCTGTGGTTCAAGCCCAACTTGGACCCTTCTTTTCAGTGAAGCCCATCCCAAGGCACCTTCTGGATACATCCATTTACAATGGTTCGAACATCCTTGACCGGTTCACTTTGGACAGCCAGGATATCAGTGTTCACCTTGTGTCCCAGAAGGTCACCCCAGAGAGTCCGAAAGTGCAGATTCTTATCCATGCTGGGGTGTCTACTCGAGAAACACTGGCTAATGCCAAGCTGAACAAGCAAACTCAGATCTCTGGCTTCCACACCTGGCAAAACTGGTGTGGTCAGCTGTTTGTCCAGCACTTTGACCAAGAGGTATCTGGTGCTTGTATTCTTAGTGACAAGTACAATGGCTGTGTTGCAGGTGTCCAGATCCCTGAAGAATGGTGGGGTTCCAATGATACTGTTGTCCATCTTTATTACCGAGTGACACCCATCAGCAACAATTTGGAATGTGCCAGCACATCCAATTCGATTGTTCCAAATAAGTCTTCATCGAATATCTCAGTGGATGAGAAACGATACCTGACCACTATGCCATTACTGCTGGATGAGGAGGAGTTCAAAGACCTCAAAGACAAGCATGTGGTGATTTCTGTCCCTACTGGAACCTACCGTCCTGGAGCTCATTTCTATGTACCAATTAAACTGGAGGCAAACTCTGACCTCCAGGTATTTGCAATGAGGTGAGTATTTCATCTTATGTTGTTTTCTATGGAGGTGTATATTTGTGTGAGGATTATGCATATGTAAATATATCAGTCATAACAAATTTATATATGTATTAAAAACTATTATCTGTAGAGTATTTAAAAAAAGAATTGATTGTTAGCAGAAGCAATAATTAAAACTTAAGTTAATGAATTAATTTCTCAAATACCTATATAATTTTGTATTTGTGATTCCTCAAATTCCCATATAATTTTGTATTTGTGATTTTGTGTGTGTGTGTTCAGGTTTAAATCTTACCAGGGTAGATTTATCAGGAAGGTGACTTCTTAAAGTTGTTTTAATTTTTTTTAATCATATCACCCCAAGCAAGATGGGAATGCCACTAGTATGCAGGGGGTTACAGGGAGTGAAAGTGAAAGAGAAAACTGAGAATAGGGAGGATTGAGGAAAGGACAAAAAATGAATGGGATTCAAGAAGACAGAAGATGGTGACTGATGTTACATTTCAATTTTTGAAAATTGTAGTTATTAGGAAAGCAAGTAAATGGAAGGGAGTTCCACAGGTGGGAAGTGCAAGAAAAGAAACTGTTGGAGTAGAAGTGGTGATTGCATTTAACTATTTCAACAGTAAAAGGGTGGAACCTAGATGCCAATCTAGCAGCACACTTAAATTTCGGCATCAGGGAAAAAAGCTTGTCACAACAGTTACCATGAAAAGACAGAGGGAAGCCATGTCATGTTGGTGAGAAAGTGACTGAAGTCGTGTTATCTGGTCAGGATTTATTATCTTGAAGATTTTTCTATGGATTTTGTCAAGTGTTGACCTGGGAAGTGATCTCAGAGGGTTTGAAAATGAATCCATGGATTAACCCAAACCTTGTGAGTGAAATTGGGTATACTTATGCATTCTCTGACATTACAACTGATGTGCTTTGGCTTCTATATGTTCAAATAGTGCTTTTGAATACAGACCTTTCCCCATTCTTGAAATATACATCTCCCCTCAGTTTTGTTTCCCAACATAAACAAAGACAATTCTTTTAGAATAGATTTTTCATTTATTAATATGGCATATTTTTTACTGATTAAACATTATTTTTTTAATGTCTACCCAAATATGGAAAATAAATAAATGGGAATAAATAAATATACAGTGTAATAAATAAATAAATAAAAACAGAGCATCTACTCAAATACGGGTATCCATTTAAAAAAAAAAAAAGTTTAAGCAATAAATTAACACACACACACACACACACACACACATATATATATATATATATATATATATATATATATATATATATATATATATATATAAAAAAAAGAGGTTATAGTAGTTCCAACGAAAGAAAAGTGTGTATATTAAAAAGAAGTGAGAAACCATAAACGCTTTTGGTTGTAATGTGACCCGAATGTCTTTCTTGAACTGGCCAGTTCAAGAAAGACATTTTAGATCACTAACACACAAAAAAGAGAATGCCTCATATTGAGAATATTTAACATTGAAAAACATAAGAAAAAAATTAATTATTTTTAATGATAAGTGGAAATCTCCACGCTTTGTCTGATGACAGTCGTGTGACAGGAAATACGTATAGCAAAATTATGAAAAATAAAGCATAATATTTTTTAAAAAAATCCACATTACAACCAAAAATGTTTGTGGTTTCTCTCTTCTTTTTTATATATATATATATATATATATATATATATATATATATATATACACACACACAAGATGGCTGACAAGGTACTGCGATTAAGCTTTTTCATTTAATTTTTCTTGTGCTTGTACAAGTGTTTTCTTTTCTGGACACAAAGCGTGTAAAATACTAACTAATAGTAATACTGAACATACATATAAAAACAATAACATTAACATCTACAAAAGCCAAATACATGTCAGTTATAAGCAAGACAAATTTTCTCTTAGAAATATCATAAAAAAATACACAACCTTAGTTAACCTAAACAAGAAAATTAATGATCTGTTACAAAAAATTTAAAACAGCTAACCTTATCATCAAATATAGCAACACACCCACAAAATCAAAACTACAAAGAACCAACATTATTTACAAGTTCAAATGCCCCTTAAGGAATGATGTTCTTAATAAAATCAATTCATAAATAATTACATTGATCATATTACTACATGCCTATCTAGATGACTTACCCAACCAGAGCTCCATTAGGACTCATTTAAATACACACAAAAACCTACTAAACTCTATCTGAAAGATACTAGTAGAAAATAATAGCCTCATCCACATGTAAAAAAAGATTAAAAATAATGGAAGCACTAACAATAAAAATGAAAAAGCCAACACTCAATAACATAATCTATGAACACAGCCATAATGTGCTGTGTTTGGAAAATAAAACATTAATTTAACTTTAGACACATACATAAAAAAAACCCACACATTTATTTAAAAATAAAAATAAAAATCATCCTTGATAATGGCTAAAAGAATAGTTGAAAGCACTCAGATATATAGAACTTTTGGACAGTTTTTACACACTTTGTGTCCAGAAAAGAAAACACTTGTATAAACATAAGAAAAACTAAATAAAAAGCTTAATCACTGTATCTTATCAGTCATCTTTAATGAAACATGTATAAAAGAGTGATTGCTGCCTAAATACACAATATGTATAGAGGTATGTATCTATAGCTGGGCACTTGTATTCGAGGATATCTGTTTACTAGGGCAGCTAGCCTATCCATATTGCAGACACTTGCTCAGGTGCATTTGTGTTTATTCAACACCCACAGAGCCCACCTGCGGTTTATACTGCAACTATGCTGAGCAGACCTTAGTTACAGTTTCTGGGAAAGAGTGTGTTATCTAGCATGATCAACAATTTGAACAAGGCCAGCACACTCAAGCCCTTGGCCACGATGACTTGTGACTTTGTGTTAGCACAGCTATTGACAGCCCCCAAGGGATCCGTCTACCGTTTCACTCACAAAGCTTGGGTCAACCTGTGATATGGTTTTCAGGCACTTTCCAAAGGTGCCACATGCTGGGATTGACTCCCCCAGTCTGGTAACATCAAAAAGTCTCCTTCCTTCCTGACAAATCAACCATGGGGAGATTTGAACCTGGTCTCATGGTCAGAATGCAAACGTTCTAACCACTTGGTCACATGCCCATTGCAATTTATATATATATATATATATATATATATATATATATATATATATATATATATATATATATATAATAAAATATATAACATAAATATAATTATAAAATCAATACAAAAATAGCCATTTTGTTTCAACACTTCTGTGTCTTATCAAGTGATGTTCAACACCATCACTTGATAAGACACCAGAAGTTGGAAACAAAAATGGGTATTTTTTGTATTGATTTTATAACATATTTATGTTATAATTTAGAATAAATAATTATTTGCTCTCTACTCTGTATTGAGCACTCTTTTTAAGAATAGTATTTGTTGGTTATTGGAATTCATTTTGTATACACTCAATCCTATATATGAATATATATATATATATATATATATATATATATATATATATATATATATATATATATATATATATACACATATACAGATGTGGAAAGAATTATTCACCTCTGCTTCTATAATTACAAATAAAGCTGTAATACCTCAAATTTTCATGGAAACTTCATGTGCATTTTTCACAAATGATGAAATAATGAATTTGAAAGAATGTGCAGTGATGCCCACAACAAAATTTTATTTCAATGTCAAGCAATAATACAAAAAATCACCAAAAAACATTTACCATTGGACAAAATATTAGCACTCTAGCCTCAATAATTGTGTAGCCTTTATTCTTGATTATTGCCTTTAATCATTTTTGATAGTTCCTTATAAGATCACTACACACACTGATATGTATTTTGCTCCATTCTTCCTTGGCAATAGCTTCCAGTTCCTCCAAATTCGAAGGAATACTTTCTCTTCCTTTTTTCTTCAAATATGTCCCTAAATGTTCAATGGGGTTTAGATCATGACATTGTATGAAGTATGCCAGTACCTTAAATTTGCTGTTGTCTAAGTATTTTGTAACAATTCATGCCATGTGTTTTCATCATTGTCATGTTGGAACATCCAGTGATGCTCCCAAAGACAGCTTTTGTGAACATTGTTTTATATTATTTTTAAGCATAGCCAAATACTATTCTTTATCCATGATCCCCTGTACTCTCACTAGTTCTCCTGGTCCAGAAACAGCAAAACATCTCCAGAGCAGAATGCTCCCATCAACATTCTTAATTGTAGGGTGGGTATTTTTGATTTGTGAACTTCATTCACTTTCCTCCATATATAATGGGAGTTCATGTGACCAAATAATTCTAGTTTGGTATCTTCTAACCATAAAACAAGAGTTCCAATATTTACTCCCATGTTCTAGGTGGCTTCTAGCATAAGCTAATCTGCATTTTAGATGCTTAGTCTTAAGCAAGGAAGTTTTTCTTGGGCAACAAGCTCAAAGTCCTGCTCAATGAAAGCATCTAGTGACTGTCTTTGTTGGTACATTCAATCCTGATGTCTTTACATCATTGACAATGTCCTTTGTCATTAAGTGAGGCTTCTTTAAGAGTTCTCTAACAATTTTCCTTTCCATTCTCTCAGAAATTAACCATTTTCTGTCCCTCTTAATTTATTCTCAACACAAAGAGTCTCATTGTACTTCTTGATAATGCTACAAATTGTTGATCTATAAACATTTAAACATTTGGAAAGTGTTGTATATCCATCACCTTGTTTATAGACATCAAATATCTTTATTTGGAGATTCTTGTTAAGTTCAGTTGTCTTTGCTATATTTGGAGAATGAATGAATTATCATGGTCTGTGTCACTCACATATTGTCTTCTTCATTATCTTTTAGAATGTTATAGAATCAGGTCAATACTATTTTATTTTCAAAGGGTGTTTGTATTAAACGTCAAATTAAGGAAAAAAAAACATTACAATTACTCTAGAGAAATATTATTTCAAAATTTCCA